CCTGTGAGTGTATTATATAGACGGTGTCACGCGGCCTGTGAGTGTATTATATAGACGGTGTCACGCGGCCTGTGAGTGTATTATTATAGACGGTGTCACGCGGCCTGTGAGTGTATTATATAGACGGTGTCACGCGCGGCCTGTGAGTGTATTATATAGAAGGTGTCACGCGGCCTGTGAGTGTATTATATAGACGGTGTCACGCGGCCTGTGAGTGTATTATATAGACGGTGTCACGCGGCCTGTGAGTGTATTATATAGACGGTGTCACGCGGGTGCCTGTGAGTGTATTATATAGACGGTGTCACGCGACCTGTGAGTGTATTATATAGAAGGTGCCACGCGACCTGTGAGTGTATCCATTATTATATAGACGTTGCCACGCGGCCTGTGAGTGTATTATATAGACGGTGCCACGCGACCTGAGTGCATTATATATAGACGGTGTCACGCGACCTGAGTGTATTATGTATATGATATCACACGACCTGTGTGTGTGCACCCGACCACACATAGATGTGAAACCCAGTCACACTGGATGCGAATTGACATGTGATTTGCATTTCGCATGCCAAGTCGCACCCTATTGTCCGCTATTAGAGCGGGTCACATCGGTGCGGTTCTGACTTTGTCGGAGCCGCACCAATTTCTAAAGTAGTACATGCACTACTTTTGGTGCGATTGGGCACAGACATCTGTGTCAGATGTCTTGCAAATCGCACCTGAAATTGGCGTGTCCCCAACTTTGAAATCGTGCAACTTCACTGTAAGTCGCACGATTTCAAAGTAGGACTTGATGTGACTGGGGTGTAAGGGCCCATTCATACTTGTGCGTTGTGGCAATGCACTAAAACAAATGTACTAACATGCACTACCACAATGCATTGCAATGTACCAGCTCCATATGTGGTGTTTTACAGTCTCATTCATTGTAAATTTGCTTGCCTCTATCCAGCCCTCAGGGTACTATTCCTCCCACTGACACAAACAAGGAGGCACCATTTCTTCCACTGGCAACAACTATGGGGAACTAATTCTTCCTCTGACACCAATGATGGGGAACTATTCCTTCCTCTGACACCAATGATGGGGAACTATTCCTTTCTCTGACACCAATGATGGGGAACTATTCCTTCCTCTGACACCAATGATGGCAAACTATTTCTTCCACTGATACCAATGTTGGGGCACTATTCCTCCCACTGACACCAAGGAAGGGGGACTATTCCGTCCTCTGACACCAATGATGGCGAACTATTCCTTCCACTGAAACCAATGATGGGGCACAATTCCCCCCACTGATATAAACAATTCGGTACTATTCCTCCAACTAATACTAAGGATGGGGCACTATTCCTCCCACTGACACAATGGTGGGGCACTATTCCCCCCCACTGACACCAATTTGATTTTTATCAATCTTTTTTATTTTTATCAAGACACAGCAGCATTCACTTTCAAATTTTTCACATAGTTCTTTTGGTGCAGGTTGTTTTTGTTTTAGTTTACTCCATATTGTTTGCTTAAGAAGTAATCTTTTATTATTTGTATGTAACATATGTACAGTTTTGTGACTGCGATCCACTACTAGATTCAGATATTGTGTGCAAATGGATGGCTATCTCTTGACTTTTATATTTTGTCATTTTTTACATTTGCATTTGTGGCCCTGATGAAGGAGGAGCAAAACTTGAAATGTGTTGGATGTTTACATGATAACTTAAAGAACAAATCGGTCCCATTCACACCCATGCGTGTGTTTTTTCAGCGTGTTTTTCGTGGGACAGCTTAACGCAGCCCATTTGCTTGTACCAAAATTGCTCCTGCACTTTTCCGGGTGCAGAGCTTGGCATATTTTTTCCACGCATTTTGGAGCTTTCTCTGTGTGGCAAAGTGCGCATTTTCTGGCCGCGTTTGGGGTGCCAGTTAATAGGGCATGTGAATTTTGTGCTTCTGGAACGTGCAGGCGTGAATGTGGCCTTAGAAACTTTGTGTTAGGAATGGACTGGCCAGCAATGGTGGGACTCACCTGCCTTTTGATCTGCAGTACCAGGGCTGGCCAGCGGGTGTTCCCTGCAAATCAGAGACTCAACTTTGCAGCCAGCTAACACCTGTAACTGATGATGCTGGGGTATTTAAGGGATGGCCAGACCCACAGACTCTGCCTTGGTGTTGTGTTTCTCTTGGCCCTGTATCCTGTTCCTGCTCTCTGTTCCTGTCTGATTCTCTGCTACCTGTCCTGATCCCTGGCTTGTGACCCTGACCCATCTCTCTGCTTGACCCTCTGTACTACGCTGCTTGCTACCTGCTGAACCTGGCCTGTGACCCGACCATTCTCTGCTTGCTCCCCCTGTACCTACCTGCCCTTATTGATATTGACCCGGCCTGCCTGACGACGCTTGCTTGTATATACTGTTATCTGTGGGTGGTTGGTTTGGGTTTGGTTGCACTGTGTTATGTTTTATGTATTGCACTGCGTTTTATGTTTGTATTGTTAGTGTTAATAAATTGTATTGTTTATCACATATCTGAAGTCTGCGTTTCCCTGCATCAGTCACACACCTCTGGTCAACCTGGGAGCCCTGACATTACCCAAGGCCAATCCTGACCAGAAGTGGTGCACAGGGAAGCCATCTTGGCTTGTTGATGGGGAAGGATGGATCTTGATGAGGTTGTGTATTTATATCTGCTAGTGTTTGATGACAGGGAGTATGCTTATCACAAACTCTGAAGGAGTATACCCGGGGATGAATTGCTAGAATGTATACGGCTCGCTCATGTTCTAGTAGATCAGGGGCACAGTGTTTCTCTGAGGTGCAAGCCATTGATTGAGGTTTGTGCAAGTTTGGTTTCATCTGGTTCCCCGAATGCAGGGATGAATTTTTGCCACCATTTAGTGCAGACCAGGTAGAGTCCCTGGTTGTGGTTATTAGAGGATGATGTGGGTTACTTTCTGGAGCGTTATTCCACATGTTCACCACACTGACACTGCGAGATTGTTATAAACGCAGTTGCAGTCATTGACCAGAACAGACTTTGTGGTAAGCTCAGTCTTTGTTCAACCCCTACTGCAGACATGGACAGACTTGTTGCACCCAGCCTCAGTCAGCTTACAAAGACCCAGTCCTGCTTCTAACTCTACTCCTGTATTCCCACCAGCTCCTCCAGTTACAGCCCAGTATACTTGGCTATCTACCGCATGTCAGTACCCTGTTCCCACTCGCTGCACCTATCCTGCCTTTAATCCTGTAAAAAAGCCCTCTGTAGCAACTGCTCCCTCTCCTGTTCCATCCTCCAGTTTCTTCTCTGTCTCCAGCTGCTCCATTCGTTTGCAGACCTGCGTTTACTTGCAGTGCTCCAGTAATTAAAACCAGAAAAAAGCGAAAATTCTTTCCAACCAATACCATCCTGCCAGTATCCAAACCGGTGAGCCTGCCTTCCGTGGTTCAGACTGAAGCCTCTACTTGGCCTGAAGCCTCTACCGCGGCCTGAAGCCTCTACGCGGCCTGAAGCCTCTCCCTCGGCCTGAAGCCTCTACGCGGCCTGAAGCTCTCCTCGGCTGAAGCCTCTCCTCGGCCTGATGCCTCGCTCCTCGGCCTGATGCCTCTACTCGGCCTGATGCCTCTACTCGGCCTGAAGCCTCTACTCGGCCTGAAGCCTCTACGCGGCCTGAAGCCTCTACGCGGCCTGAAGCCTCTACGCGGCCTGATGCCTGTACTCGGCCTGAAGCCTCTCTTCAGCCTGAAGCCTCTACTCGGCCTGAAGCCTCTACTCGGCCTGATGCCTCTACTCGGCCTGATGCCTCTACTCGGCCTGATGCCTCTACTCGGCCTAATGCCTCTACCCAGCCATGATGAACTGATCCAGCCAGACGATTCAATGTCTGCCCCGGTGCCCGCGGTCATGCCAGTTGACTCGGAGCCCACTGCCTTGCCAGATGACGCGGTGCTCGCTGTCGAGCCAAATGACTTGATGCCTGGTGACCCGATGCCCGCGCTGTCCAGTCAGACGATCCAATGTCTGACCCAGTGCCCGCGGTCATACCAGTTGACTCGGAGCCCACTGCCTTGTCCAGATGACGCGGTGCCCGCGGTCGAGCCAAATGACCTGATGCCTGGTGAACCGAATGCCCGCTGTCCAGCCCAGAGACGATTCAATGTCTGCCCCGGCTGCCCGCGTCATGCCAGTTGACTCGGAGCCCACGGCCTTGCCAGATGACGCGGTGCCCGGCGGGTCGAGCCAAATGACCTGATGCCTGGTGACCCGATGCCCGCTGTTCCGGTCAGACGATCCAATGTCTGACCCAGTGCCGCTCGGTCATACCAGTTGACTCGGAAGCCCACTGCCTTGCCAGATGACGCGGTGCCCGCTGTCGAGCCAAATGACCTGATGCCTGGTGACCCGATGCCCCAGCTGTCCAGCCAGACCATCCAATGTCTGACCCAGTGCCTGCGGTCATACCAGTTGACTCGGAGCCCACTGTCGTGCCTGGTGTCTCGGTGCCCGCCGCTCCGCCTGGGGCCCGAGACCTGTCGCTCGCTGCCTGGGGGTCTCGGCGCCCGCTACCGCGTCCGCCTGAGGGCCCGAGACCTGTCGCTCCCACCAGGGGGTCCCGGCGCCCGCCGCTCCGCCTGAGGGCCCCGAGACCTGTCGCTTCCGCCTGGGGGTCCGGCGCGCCCGCCGCTCCTGCCTGAGGGCCACGAGACCTGTCGCTCCGCCTGGGGGTCCGGCGCCCGCCGCTCCGCCTGAAGGGCCCGAGACCTGTCGCTCCGCCTGGGGGTCCGGCGCCTGCCGCTCCGCCTGAGGGCCCGAGACCTGTCGCTCCACCTGGGGGTCCGGCGCCCCCGCCGCTCCCGCCTGGTGAGGGCCCGAGACCTGTCGCCTCCTCCTGGGGGTCCGGCGCCGCCGCTTCCGCCTGAGGGCGGCCGAGACCTGTCGCTCCTACCTGGGGGTCCGGCGCCCGCCGCTCCCCCCCCCACCACGCTCCGCCTGAGGGCCCGAGAGGACCTGTCGCTCCGCCTGGGGGTCCGCCGGGCGGCCCGCCGCTCCGCCTGATGGGCCCCGAGACCTGTCGCTCCGCCTGGGGGTTCCGGCGCCTGCCGCTCCGCCTGAGGGCCCGAGACCTGGTCGCTCCGCCGGGGGGTCCGGCGCCCGCCGCTCCGCCTGAGGGCTCCGAGACCTGTCGCTCCTTCTGGAGGTCCGGCGCCCGTCGCTGGATGACGCTTCCGCCTGAGGCCCGAGACCTGTCGCTCCGCCTGGGGGTCCGGCGCCCGCCGCTCGCCTGGGGGCACGATGCCATGTCGCCCCGCCTGGGGGGCCCCGATGCCTGTCCGCCCCGCCTGGGGGCCCGATGCCTGTCGCCCCGCCTGGGGGCCCGATGCCTGTCGCCCCTCCTGGGGGTCCCGATGCCTGTCTGCCCCTCCTGGGGCCCGATTGGCACTGTCGCCCCATACTGGGGGACCCGATGCCCTGTCGCCCCTCCTGGGGGCCCGATGCCTGTCGCCCCGCCGCTGGGGGCACGATGCCTGTCGCCCCTTCCTGGGGGCCCGATGCCTGTCGCCCCTCCCTGGGGGCCCGATGCCTGTCCGCCGCCCCCCCGCCTGGGGCCCGATGGCCTGTCGCCCCGCCTGGGGGCGCCGATGCCTGTCGCCCCCCGCCTGGGGGCCCGGTGCCGTGCGCCCCGCCTGTGTGTACCGGATGCCTTCGCCCCCGCCTGTGGGACCGTTGCCTGTCGCCGCCGCCTGGGGGACCGGTGCCCTGTCGCCCCGCCGGGGGGACCGGTGCCCCGTCCGCCCCGCCGGGGGCCGGGGCCTGTGCCCCCCCTGGGGACCCGGGGGCCCTTCCCCCGCCGGGGGGGGCCCCGGTGCTGTCGCCCCGCCTGGGGGACCCCGGGTTTTTGGCCCCCT